ATTAGAAGAGTGGCAGGGATCCCCGTCAAAGTAATACCTTACTCACGCTAGCAATAGTTATGCATCTCAGTTGGATCACAAATTCGATATATGCGCGTGATACTGTACCCTTGAAGTTGGAAGCTGGCTGCAGATGTGGTGATGTGGCTTCCTTATCGCTTTGAATTTCACATATATTGATCTACGTATACTGAATCGCTGCAAGTTCTGTTTAGAACACATCAATCTGTTTGAATGCAGCCTCTATCGCACAGAGCATTGTCCAATCTTGGCCCAACAGAAATCTCCATCTCGCCTCCCATTCTAAGATATGTGTTACGTCTTGAGATGAACCCACTTGTCACCTAACCCAAAAAATGCAGAGTATACAAATAAAGAAAACATGGATACAGACATCATTTAGAACCACTCGCCACCCAACCAGCGGTTGTAGAAGTCGACCGAGTTCTCGGGCTGGTCCATGGGAACCATGTGGCCGGCGCCGTAGATGCGCATAAAGGTCAGGTTGCCGCTGGACTTGACCTTGCCGTATTCCTTCTTGGCGTTGGGGGTCTTGAGATCCTTCAACTCAGCCTTGGAAAAGCCGGCATGGCCAGACCACTCAAGCTCGTCGGTCCAGGCCTGGTTACCCAGCCAGTTGCAAATAAAGTCCTTGTCACCGGCGTAGATGAGAACGGGAATCTTGTCAAGAACATCGGGAACGATGCGGTGGTATGGCTTCATCCAGTCACCAGCGAACATGAAGTTGCGGTTGATGTCAAAGTTGCAGCTGTCGTAGGTGCTGACCTCAGCGCCAAGAGCATCCTGGACCGATCTCTGGTTGAGGTAGTCGGAGATGTAACCAAGGCCAGCGTAGCAAAGGTTAGAAGTATCCTCGCACTTGCCACGAATGTCATAGACGTTCAGACCAGTGCGTTGGTAGGGACCCATCATGGCGTTGTTGCAGTAGATGGTGGCGGGGACACATGACCAGGCGCTCTCAGAATCGTAGCAGTTTTGGATGAGAGACTGGCATCGGGGGAGAGCGTTGTCCATCGACTGGCACTCGCCCTGGCTCAGAACAGATTCGTGTCCACCCTCACCGCACGCCATGGGGCGGTAGTAAGCGTACTGGGTAAGGCCGTCAGTGAGACCGTTGCCGATAAGCACACTCTTGAGGTTGATGTTGCGCTCCTCATGCTTCAGGATCTCATTGGCAAAAACAGGGATGTAGTGGCCAGCATACGACTCTCCAGCAATGTGGAAATCTTGCTTAGCATACTGAGGGAACTGTTGGAAGAAGAGAGTGAGGAGGGCATAGATGTCCTTGCCGGCAGCAACAGTGTTGCTGACACTTCCACTGCTGTAAGAGTAACCAACATTGACGGGCTGGTCGAGGAAGATGACGGAAGCATTGTTGTTCCATGCAGAGGGGTTGTTGACGAGCTGGAGCTTCTGGTCAACAGATGAAGGGCCAAGTTCAAGGAAGAGACCAGTGAGCGAGGAGCAGCCTGGGCCACCGTTGAGCCAGAGGACAACTGGGTCATTCTCGGGGTCGTTGCGGGACTCGAAGAACCCTAGAGGGGAGAATGTCAGTATGATAAGGATGAAAGAGAGCGGGATGGGACAATTGCATACAGTAGAACAAGTGCTTGTCCTCCTCCTCGTCATCGAGGTAACCGCTGTACTGCTTGACGGTGTCGACGCCGAGCTTGGAGGGGTCGACAGACTTAGCACGAAGGTTGTAGTTCTTCAGGTAGCTATCGGCATGGCCGGTAGAAGAGGCCGAAGCCTTGGCCTTGTAGACCTCCTCGCCCTTGACGATGTGATCCCAGTGGGAGTCTGGGCGGCGAGTGGCAGGCTTGGGCTTGGGGCCGGCGACGGTCTGCTTGAAGGCCTCGATGGCATCGGGCATCAGGAGAGAGACTTCATCCCAGATGCCTTTGGCCTCGGACTTCATCTCGCCATAGAGCTCCTCAAATGGCTTGACCCATGACTCGGTCTTGTCGGCGAAGGTGTATGAGACCTTATCGGAGCTGCCTCCGGTGAGGACGTGCTGTTCGGCAGCAACGGCCGAAGCGGCGCCCAAAACAAGGGCAGAAGAAGACAGACGCATTGTGGCGATGCGGCGATCTAGTTAATGGATGATGGATGTAATGGGAGATGGGGAGGATGGTTGGGAGGAGAGATGGAAGAGGAGGGAGGAATGACTAGCTGCTGGAGGTAGATAAGCACGGCGAAGCCTCGGGTGCTGGGCAACTCAGTTCCCAACTCAAATAGGTTCTCCCGCCTGCTGCTGCTGCTACGCTACGTAATTCATGCGGGCGTTAGCGTCAGCCACTCAGAGTCTGGATCGCGCCCCACCCGAGTCACAAGTGACGCCCCAGCCCGCAGGTGCCTGGCATGCAACTGCAGGTGGAACAGCGCCTGTGTGGAGGAGGAGACCTGGCGCTAGCTCTGGTGGCACTGCAGGCTGAGCCGCGTGACTGTTTTCCCCATCAAATGCGCCATGACAGCCTGGAGCTCTCCGCTGGGAGCTGGGAGCTGCGATTACGTAGTGCCACAGCTGGCCCGGCGCAGCATCGAGATAAGCCATGCAGGAACCAGTAGATAAGACCTGCCCCTGGTCTTTCTCCGACACCGGCTCACATGTCCATGATGCTTGGGTCTGTTGGGCTCGTGGCGCTACAGCAATGGTTTCATTACTGATTCATAATAATAGTGTTGGATTAATATGCAGTTCTATACCCGTTTCCCCATGCCAACACCTTTGGATGCGTGTAGTGTAATGAAAATCTACTATGATAACTAAATGAATGCGCCAACCTCCCCAACTCGATTGCTGAACGATGATATAATACACGCGAGGTCGCTGTAAGACTACGATAGTGATGAACACGGGATGAATCATGCAGTCAAGTCTTCTAAAATAGCCTCGAGCTCATCTTTCCGGAATGGAACGCTGAGCAACTCGGTGCCTAGGGCATCCTTTCGGCTAGTGATGATCTGGTGATCGTGGAATCTGGAACAACATGTTAGCACGCTTCTTCTTTTGTTCAAGGCAGGATCGCCACATGACATACTCTTTTAGTAGCGTCCGGAAGGCCATTTCCGAACTGCAAATGAACTCTTCCACCGATTTGTTGTAGAGCATCCTATACTCGACACCCACTTCATCGCCATCACTGGCCTCCTCCTCCATCGCGATCAGAATTTCACCGACGATAAGCTGGAATAGGTTCTTCGCGTTGTCGGGAAGACTGCGAAGAACGAAAGCGACACCTTCACGGCCGTTGACGCGATGAGCCTTCCTGCCAAGTAGTTCGTGGACATCATCCACAACATTAAGCTCAACAGTGAACGGGGAAAACGTGGTACAGTCATGGAATGTGAAGTTGAAAGCAGACCTGAGACCGATATCCCATAGAAGAGAGAAGTCGGGGGTATCTGCAGAACATGCGAGATTGACTTGGGGGTGGGAGGCCAGCTGGGCAAGTATAGCCTGATGCCCCAGTTTCCTTAGAGGCACAGCGTCGATCGAGTTGACAATGATCGTGAGGACAATATTGGTGGTCGAGAGATGGGCGAGTATGTTTTGAACCATGGCAGCGGGCTGCGAGGTCGGAATCCGCCTCTTCGGATCTACTGCAACCGCGACGGTAGAGAGGATCTCTCGCATAGTCATTGTTGATGCATAACCATTGACCATGACGATTTTCCCAAGTTTTCCTTTCGGACTTGTGGAATGAAGGTGCTTGGCAAATTTTTGGAGCAGGTGCCTTTTCGATCCGTATCCGTACAGACAGAGGCTGAAGCCTTCCGCCAATTCGAAAGCCCATTGCGGAAACGATTCGGCATGCAGAGACTCGAGGTATTGTACATCGCCAGTATGCTTTTCCTCTCGTTCGTTGAGGATCTTGAAGTATTCATCATGCGTGAGCAGATCCACCGAGGCGAGTGTATTGTTCGAGGTTTTCGGCCGCCCAGGCTTATTTTGTGCAAAGTAAAGCTCGTGAGGTGGGAGGTCGCGAGGAGGTGTTGGAGATCGTGCTTTCTTTCGAGCTCTTCGCTTCGTTGGAGTTACAGCAGGTTGTTCGGCCGCGTTGTCCACTAAGCCATCCTCGCCTGGTTGTTCCTTGTTGCTCTTGGCACTCTGAAAGATCTCATCGTCTGCTTCGCCTTCGCTTGATTCGTAAATTTCCCTTGCCAGGGCATCCTCATCATCTTGGTCGTCGCTGTCGCCATCTCCCACAACCTGCTCTATTAATGCCCTTGCACTCTTTCTCCTCGCCGAGCGGTCTGCGCCTGCCTGCCTTCGAGGTGTGGCGTCGTCGGCGACTGTTCCTTTTGTTGGGGTTTGAAAGGCTCGTTGACGTTTGGCTTTTGGTGTGGGCGTATTACTCTGCGACGCTGCTTTTGGAGGGCGCCCTCTTTTCCTTGGCGTCGTCTTGGGTTCTTGGGATAGTGTTTCCAGAGCCGGTTCCGAGTGCTCGCCAGAGTCGGATGTGCCATTTTGATTGCTGGCCCCATTGATGCTTTCTGATGCGCCAGACTCGACATTTTGGTGTAACGAATTCACGGAGCCTCGTCGCCTTTTTGATGGTGCAGTAGCGTCAACATCTTCCTGGGAAGCTTCCACTTCAAGATGTGATCTCTTACGACGCAGACGGGACTGGTCTTCTGCCGGGGAACCCTCTGCGATGACTTTTTTCGGTGGCATTGTTTTGCTTGGTCAACGGGATTGTGAGAGTCGCGATCCTCAATTAATTTAGCATTCTGGACTGGACCTTGGCGCGACACCCCTGCCATCCACCTCCAGGGACCTGTCGCTTGGCGTTTGTGGCGCAGCCTGTGTTCTAGGTGTGGCGCGAGCTCAACGGTCTCCAAAAGATACCTACAGTTCGATGCGAGCGATCGCTCAAGTTAAAAAGCACACCAATCGGCTTGAATCCATCCTGCCTGTGATTAGCTACCTTAGCATCTTACACATCTCAATCCTGCAACAGGCATGCTGGCTCATCATGATCAACTTCAATTTGTCGGCTACTTTTAATGTAGTCCGGATACTGTTTAAGCCAAGCATCTGTCTTCCGCACCACACAGCCTCGAATTTCAATGATCTTCCTATTCCGCTAGATAAGGCACTGCAGCGCGAAGGGCGCGCTGCGACCGATATCCGCGCGGTGGTCCTTGACAAAGATGATTGCTTTGCTTACCCCGATCAGAATGAAGTATATCCAGATTATAAGGTGCGCATGTTTCAAATCAATGTTTTTTTATGATTTGTCCTCGAAGACCTCGGAATATTAAATTCCCCTTAGGACAAGTTTGAGGCTTTGAAGAACGCATATCCTGGACGCCGACTTCTCATTGTCTCGAACACGGCTGGGGCTCAGAGTTGGGACCCGAAGCTCAAAATAGCCGTCGAGGTGGAGAAGAACACAGGTGTCTCTGTGCTGTCGCATTCTGTCAAGAAGCCAGGGTGTGGCAGGGAGATCATGGAATATTTCAAGCAACATCCTGAGACAGGAGTCACGCACCCGTCGCAGATTGCCGTAGTAGGTGATCGACTCACAACAGATATGATGCTGGCCAATATGATGGGTGGATGGGGTTTTTGGATTCGAGATGGAGTGATTCCTCTCAAGCAGAAGAGTTTCGTGAGTATTTTCGTTTTCGTAATTCACCTTCAGATAGCGGTTTCTAATGCCGAACAGTTTTCTCGGATAGAACGACCTCTGTCGGCCTTTCTAATGGCCAGAGGGGTTGTGGCCATGGATCCTCGCAGCCCCTTTGAGGAGTAGTCGGTGTTGGTTGTTGGTTGTCTTGACTATTGTACGAATATTGTGGTTTTTGTCGGTCATGTCACCAGGAAGGAGGCAGAATATACGCCTTTCAGTGCACGTGTAACGTCTGTGATTCACGAATGATTCGCGTCAGGCGCTTTCCTAGGCGAATCACCACCTCACTCTCTGACCGCCCTATTGTTCTTTTATTCAGTAAGTTCCATCTTGACCGGCGGTGACTCGAGCGCAGCACAAATCCAGACAACACAAGCAAACCTATAAGAATAGGCTTGCGAGACATCCGGGTTCCACCTAGGTAATCAGCGTTGTCGAAGAGGTCTGGCCCGGCTATCTCACAAACAAGCTCTTGAGACACTTCACTGCTCTACGTTGTTTGACACCTACAGCGACCACCGGCGAAATGGGCGGGAAAACCTGGAACAAGGCAGAGGAGCTCATCTTCTGGCGTACCATCATTCCCCAGTCGCCCCAGGCTGCAAACATGTCAGACAGGTTGAAATCCTGGAATCAATGTGCCGCAATCATGCAACGGATGATGGGCCTACCACCACGGCGTATTTACACGAAGACGATGCTTTGTAGGTGTTACCTTGTTTCCCATCGCCAGTGGTGTGAACGCGGAGTAACCCAAACAACCCCTAGACGAACACTATTATCAAAACATCAAAACAAGAAGACACTCGCCTCAAGCACGGCCATTTGTCCGCCAGCATATGCGAGAACTTGGTATGTGAGACAGAACCCTCCTGCGAAAGCAATCGATTTTCTTCATCTCTAACTGAGACTCCCTTGGTAGAAAAAAACCCCCCAGCCCGCGATGAAGTACTAGGCCCTTCAACTCCTGAAAGAAACCTTCGCCCCGAGAGCAGACAGCAAGACCAAGTTATGGCCTCGACGGATGAAGTGGGCGCTCATGATTGCACCTCTGATAATACCGACAAGACCACAAGCTCTTCGAGTGAAGGATGCTCGCCCTTTGAAGCACTCCTTATTGCTACCAAGTTGGATCACGAGAGGGCAAAATCAGCCGATTCTTCTTACGTCGACTGCTCTATGTCGTCGATTTCTGTGATCTCAGCCTCTGAGGTTCGCGATTTTTAGATTTCCAAGCATGGATTGGGACGAAACTGAGATGTCCCCTGGGATTATTCCGTCCCCAAGTTCATCTTCAGGATTCATGATATCTCTGAAAAGAGAGGAGGAAGAAATACGAGAGAGTGAGTGTGAGAGTTAAACGGGGAATGTGGGAGTTGAAGATCTGATAGTGGTGGAGTTCGTGAAATAGTATCTGTCGAGAGCCCTTGCTAAGTGCTTGGGGAGAAGTTGATGATGGCGGCCATCGATCGAAGTAACGCTTAGCTGCTCATGCCGGCACTTTGGCATCTTTACCTAGGGTTTCAGGAAGATTAAATCAAACAAGAAATTCCATCCTTCTCCACACAGGTCTGAGTGAATTAACGCATGCTTGCAATTGCCTTATTTTCCTTTTTTTTTAATCATCTGCCTCAAAAGTCCTCGCAAATATAGTTCCTTCATATCGCCACCTTTGCCAAGACGGCATCGACGGAGAAGTGGGGCCGAGCAAATAGACTCTGAGCGGGAATTCCCAAGGCGGTCAGCGGCGGCAGAAATATTTCGGAGCATCCAAGATTTCCAAGTTGAAGCCGCCGTGATTGGGGGTGGGATATCAACCTCCTCCAGAATATACACCCTGCCCATACCTCCACGACATCATGAACGTCCCCCCTTCGAGTTTTGGCGGCTCTGGCGCTGGTGCCATGATGCCCCCGACACCGACGCCCGGTGGCCCCAACGACCCCAACATTAAGATGGTAGGCCATCACCCCGAAGCAGATATATATGTTACAAGAGCTAACTCTTATTTTTTAGATGCAATCGATGATGGAGTCATGCTTCGGCAAGTCCGTCATGTCCGGTGTCATGGGTTTCGGCATGGGTGGTATCTTCGGCATGTTTATGGCTTCCGTACGTCCTCCTCTCCATCTCCCCTCCTCCCCCAATCCTTAACTAACCTCCCCGCTCTAGATGGCATACGATACTCCCTACGGCGCCCCAGGCAGCCCGCAGTCCCCGGTGACCTCCCTTCCGCTCCGCCAGCAGCTCAAGATCGGCTTCAAGGACATGGGCACGCGGTCCTGGTCCACGGCCAGGAACTTCGGCAAGATCGGCGCCCTCTTCTCCGGCATCGAGTGCGGCATCGAGGGCATCCGCGCCAAGAACGACCTCGCCAACGGCGTCGCGGCGGGCTGCCTCACCGGCGGGATCCTGGCCAAGAACGCCGGCCCCCAGGCCATCGCGGGCGGCTGCGTCGCCTTCGCCGCCTTCAGCGCCGCCATTGATGCGTACATGAGGTCGCCCGGCAATGATGAATAGAGCGCCCCTCCACTTCTTTTGCGGCCTGGGATGAAAAAAAAGGCTTCATGTATTTTAGCGATACGAGCCCGGATATGAGGGGTTCGGTTGTACGATCGACGTGTCGGAATTTTGCTGGTTTTTGCGACCAGGGCGTTTCTCAGGAATGATTTTTACGTTTTAGAAGAAGCATATTAACTGGCGTTCGGGGAGACAGACGGCTCTCTCTCCACTTTGGACTTTGTTGTTGCCCTCTTGGACGAGACGGTCTTTTTTTTTCATAGAGGTTGATTCTCTTGGCATCTGTTCCAATAGATGGTTTAAAAAGCTACATATATAGTGTGTAAAATATAGACTCCGCCTAATCATTCTACAGAGCCGACCAAAAGAAAACTGGTTTATATCATAACAAAATTGCCCCATATGTTCCTTCAGTTGGTGGGCACTCCAAGACTCTGTTCATTTATAATCCTCCAATCCGTTATCCCATGATCTTCGTGTGCTCGGGCGTGATCTATGACTTCTGATAAACTTCGAAATAGCCGAATTCCCAATAGGCATTCGTAAATGCAGTGGGCGTCTCGGCAACATAAGTAGAGCATGTACTCGGGCCTAAGCAAGACGGACGATAAAGGTCAGTATCAGAACCACTGGTCCAGCTCACCCCCTTTTCATATGGGTTCGAAAACTTACATCCAGAGTCGGCATATTTAGCCTCGGTGAGGTCACCGCAGAGATCAATGTTAGCAGTGATGGAGTTATTCTTGAAGTGGTTGCCGATATTACAGCTCGTGCTTGGGAAATCAGCAGCCGCGGTCCCCCAGGTTGATGGGTCGGGGTTCTTGCTTGTGACATCGGAGGGGATCGAGCTCCTCGCCCACTGCCACACACGGATACCGGCGTCTCTCCATTCCAGGGCCATGACACCGCCATTGTTGTTGTTGAATGCTTCTCCAAACGAGCTGGTGCTTCCCTGAACGCCACAGCCGGCGTTGTCGTTCTTGTCGTGGTCGCAGTTCGAGTACTGGGCGGTACCGGTCTGTTTACGACGGACGCCCACAGAACAGCCGTCTGTTGTGTGGAGGGTCATCTGGTTACCGTCCTCACCCTGGTTAACGGACTCCATGACGTCTATCTCGCCGTTGTCGGGCCAGTTGGACTCGTCCGTGAGCCAGAGAGCACTCCAGGTGGCACAGCCATAAGGACTGTGCTTGACGTCAAAGATGAAGAGACCCTCGTCGTAGGTGTTCTTGGAGGAAATGCGGACGGAGAAGCGTCCGGTGGAAGCATCCGGTTCGTCACCAGGGCCCACTGAGGTGTCAACTCGGAGCACTGCACTTTGCGAGGACGCATAAGTCAGGTTCTGGCGTGACATGTTAGTATCTCCCAAAGAGAACGAGTTAGTGATGCAAAAAGTGGCACTGGGATTACATACAAGCGATGTTGCTTGCTCTCGAGGGACATAGTGAACAAAACCGTGAGCTACAAACAAACGTTAGCCGAGTACACTTCAAAACATGGAGAACAGTGAAAACATACTCGGATCATAGCCGGTGAAATAATTGAAATTGTCAAAGAAGGATGTTCCCGAGTCTGCGTGTAGTGTCAGTTCAGGCCGGTGACATTTGATGTCTTGGATGTCAATTCTAGCTCACACGTTTCCTTCAGAGAATATGATAACTGGGAGTAGTTGGGGTAGGCATTCTTCTTGGCCTGAGTAACTCCAACGGCGACGGCGATGACGATAATGATTACCAGCGCCGCAACAACTCCTATCCAGATTCTTTTGGTCCAGTACCGGGGATTCCACCACGGCAAACTGGTCTGCAGTGGACGGACATTGCCTCCTCCAACAATGTTCTGTTGCGGTGGCGCCACAACTTCTTGGTAAGTGGGCGGCAAGTCGCCGGGCTTGTAGAACTCGCGGTGCACCATTCTGCCAGCAGGTAGGTGAAATGTATTAATAAATGGGGTTACTATTGATCGGCTGCCAAGAAATCAATGGATCTGATGTGATGTGCTTGATATGTGATGGAGCTCGACAACGACAGACGGGATTTGGGGACAGAACGAATGAGCAGGAGTGAAAACCTGTGATTCTCAACAAGCGAAGGTTGCTAAGGAATGTTGCAGAGATTGAGTGTTTTCCGGGTGAAACGGTAGCAGGGACGGACGGGCGAGGGAGGAAAGAAACACTGGATGAGCAAATCCAGCTGATGGTACCGGATCTACACAACTTACTCCTGGACTATTGCTTGAAACAGTGGGCATCAACACCACCCTGTACGTCAATACAGTATGCATTTTCACTCTACAGTACTCGGTTGGGTGGACATGGGTTGACGGTCTTGCCTTGTCCAAGGGAGACGCGTCCGCGCAAGCCGTGGAAAGATCAGGCAAATGGCGGTGCTTCACATGGCATTGGTGGATCCGTTTCTGTGGTTCGCGACTCTGTGCCTGGACGATACTGCAATAAGAATTATTATAGCACGACGGCAGAGATGGTGGGCCGATTCACACGATCGAGGCAGTGTTGAGGACGAAACGACATAAACAACGGCCGTCTTCTGCTGGTCTCTGGATTGGAGGGCATCGATACGACCTGCAACGAGTAACAACCCCCGGAGATAACATCAATATTTTGCCAACTGGGCAATACGACCTCAATCCTCGTCAGTTGTTGATGACCAACAAGCTCGTATCAGCAACTCCATGGAATGGTGGAGGAGTGGAGAGCTGCGACATATCAGATGGTCGTGGACCGTCAAGAAAAGCTTGTGCGAACAAGTGGAGAAGCCGGTTCCGCATAGTAAATGGGCCCTTCATGTGAATCGCACGCACACAGCCACGGCCATGACGCGTTCCAGGACCTTATCTTCTGATTTAGATCCTCGATCCCAATAAAGGCCGGTCCGATGCCTGCCCCTGAACCTGCTCCACTCCTCCTACTATGTATCACATCAGTCTGTCTTCCGCATTCAGCAAATGTTGCAGGTTGGATTGAATATCACAGATTGGACATGGCTGCCACAGTGATCACACTTGGAGGGCACGGTTGTGATATTGCCGGAAAGGAAAGTTGACATCGATAGCCAACAACAATAAATTTGGCAATATCAACATCACTCTACCAGGCTTCAGCAGCTACGAAGGGCGAACCTCGTCGTATAAAGCATTACCGCTAATCATCAAGTTGATACTCATGCGGTGGTGCTCCGAGAAGCAGTCTCAAGCCCCTCGTCTTTGGGTCTACCCGACTTCTCCATCCGCAATCACACCCAGTATAATACATCTTCATTGTCAATCTTCCCCGAAAATCCATCCAATCATGCCGAAGCTCATCAGCAAATATACGAGAACATAGACTTGGAATCACACGGATCCCCTCAAATGTCCTGCTCTGTCCCCCCAAATCGAGCCAGCGGTACGCTCTGGGTTGGAAGCAAACCGAAAGGTATTTTCTTTTGGCGTTTAAACTTAGCTTAACGTCTTCAATGGTGATGTTCTCATGTTTGAACAATATCAACACCCCAATAAGATTCTTCAGACGTTCTCCCTTCTCCATAACCTCCAGCAGCTCCGCAGCTTGTCCAAGGATTCCCTTGCCACAATCTCGGAGATGGAGTTCGGCCAAGCTCTCTGGAAGGCACTCGACGATCCTCGGAGCGCCTTCAATACTGAGTGGCATGCCTAGTCTTGTGCCAGGAGCTGGATCCCAGACACCTGTG